TCTATAGCTAGAGGTTTTCGTGTATTTTATTCCCTTATGCCAGGACCGACCGCAGGGCCCATTCACATGGAACCGGATTCGGCTACCTCAGTTCGTGCGGTCGGTCATTTGATTCCCTCCATACTTTTCCCGAACCCCTGGTCGGATCTGGGTGATTTTTGGATATGTTGTTCACCCAGATCAGGGCTACCAGGGGATGTATGATTTAAAGAGGTACCCCTATGTTTAGGGGTACATCCAGAAACGGGGGGAATTGGTGTGCTGGATAAGGGGATTATGATGCTGGCTGAGGGGAGGAGATGTGTGGGAGGTTACCAGGACAGGATTGGCTACTGTAATAATTACTGTAAATCCCTCCCTTGCATGGGAGCATGCTTTATAAGGAGACTGTGATTAAAGGCTTTGTCAGTTATGCTCCTGAAACTGTGTGTCGTCCAGTTATTGGGATTGCTGTTGGGATATTACTGTATTTTACCTGCTGGAAACCTTGCCTGTGGATTTCTTATTTCCTTGTTCCTGAGTCCCACTTGGATTATAAGCGGAGATAACCTGGGTAATATTGCATCTCCGCTACAGGGAGTGACTGAGAGTGTCAGCGGTGATCCTGGAATTTCAGTGGTGTTCGGGAGTTTGTGTCCGAAAACCGTTCCGTGAACTCGACGACCAAACACCACTGCTGGCGTTCGTGGGAACAAGATGGCCGGCACCTCGTACTCATTCATGCGAACAGCGGCCATCCAGACCAACACTTAGAACACTGCGGTGGAAAGTGTTACAAACTGTCCAAGGTTTCCTGATTGAAGACTTGGATAAAGATAGGAAGTAGAAGCATATAGCGGTCGGACACAATGTTCTGGTGTTTGTTAATGTTAAACTGGCTCTCTGAACCTCCTTGCACTATAATAACTACATTGCGATTAAGTTGTTATGGTGCCTGGAGTGGTCCCTTTTTTTTTTGACAAATTGCTCTCCCAACCTCGTGCCTAAACACTACACAAGGCGTCATTAAGGGACAAGAGGCAGGCTATTTATACAGTTAAAGATAAAATAACAGTGCGTCGAACAGTAAAACTGGGGGAGGAACTGATGGGACACTGCGGTGACAGTAGGATTCAGAGGACTGATCTTAGCATGTGTGGGCTATGTAGGTCTAATGGCTGAGGGGGTAACGTCTGCAGACTAAGCATCCTGGGAACTGTAGTTCTACAATATCTACCTTTTTAATAATTTTTGTTTTTAGTGACCACCTCCATTCCTGACCCTGTGTTAGCATTACAATGTTTATCCACCAGGGGGTGCTCTTGGCAGTCCATCTCCATTCCTGACCTTGTGTTAGCATTACCATATTCCTCCACTAGGGGGAGCACTTTACAAGCCCTCTCCATTCCTGACCCTGTGTTAGCATTACTATGTTTGTCCAGCAGAGAGCTTGTGGCGGGACCGCTGCCCAGCTGTGAATTGTCCTTTCCTATGTGTGGATGTGTTTGCCCTTTGTAATTATCTCCCTTTCCTTAATTTTGACCTTAAATCATGCAAAGTACCTTTTTAACCACACAGAGCCCCGTGTGCCGGACCACCCTGATACGCTTTTTAGAACGTTTAGTTAGAATGCTCACACCTCGCTAATGAGGCTCTGTACATCCGATCACCCCGCTTTTTGCATGGATCTCAGGTGGGACCCGGGACTATTTATCAATATGTTTCAACCCTGTAACCCCTTCCTGTCCTGGGGTGCCTAGCCCCAAAGTTTAGCCCACTGTATGTAATGTGTGTCCCTGTGTCCTGTTAGTATCTCCCAGAGCGGGAGATGGTTATATGTTCCTCAGCTCCCTCCTGCCTGGGATTGTGTTGTTTTTGATTGAGACCCCCTGCAGGGATCTGTGCATAAAAAAGCTGTGTACTCAACCCAAATAAAGATTGTCAAAGGTTGTACCCTGGAACTGTGCCGTCCAGTTACTGGGGGAATGGGTCTGACCCCTTTTAATAAAAGGGAATAACCAGCCGGGTTACCCAGGGCCCGCTACAGAGCTCTTTAAAGGCCATCTCCATTCCTGACGCTGTGTTAGCATTACCATGTTCCTCCACCAGAGGGAGCTTTGTGTAGGCCATCTCTTTTCCCTAACCTGTTAGCATTACCATGTTCTTCCACCAGGGGGTGTCATCCACATGCTACAGTCACAGCTGTCAGGAGTAATGGTTGGTTTTTTTTTGAGTATTTTGCTTGTGCTTCTGGTACGTGTTGTGACCTGTCCTCCAGCCCATACTTTTCTATATGAAGCACAATGATGACTTATCTAGACACTAGAATTAAGTTTTACCTCTTGTCTCTCTCAATAAAGCCGTGTGTAAAAATCCCCAATTATCCGTGAAGGTGTATCGATACGGCAGGGTAGGACGTTCTTTCACTCTGAGAATCCATCCTATTACCAGGGGACGTGTCTGTACTGGAGATGGAGTTTGCTCTTTGCTGCCTCTAAAGCTGTGTTTAAAGGACCACTATAGTGCCAGGACAACATACTCGTTTTCCTGGCACTATAGTTCCCTGAGGGTGCCCCCACCCTCAGGGTCCCCCTCCCGCCCGGCTCTGGAAGGGGGAAAGGGGTAAAAACTTACCTTTTTCCAGCGCCGGACAGAGAGCTCTCCTCCTCCTTTCCGCCTCCGTTAAGCTGAAGTGGTCTGGGTGCCTAGAGTGGTCCTTTAACATTTAGAATAAATTGCCAAACTTCGAACTGGATCAAATAAAACGCCTGACTGCGGCTTACTACCGACTTGGCGTAGAATTCCTGGTTAAAGTGGCAGTCTAGGCACCATAAACACTATTGTCTTCTGGAGTTGTTATGGTGCCAGGAGTTCCCTGGCTCTTTCCTTTAGTCGTTAAGTAATTGATCCATTTCTTAGCAGTTTGACCCTTACTGGGCCCCCAGGGGCCTCTGGTCCTTTTGTGATCACACTAATAAATCCCTACGACGATGTTGGTGGTATTTGTTCCATGTTTGGGTGGAATTTATTGGCTGGGAGAAACTGAAATTTTGTGTGTTTCTTTGTGTGCCATAGTCCTGAGGCAGGAGGCTGGCAAGCAGGCCCCTCCAAGATCACGTGGCAGGTGCATTTCTGCCACAGTTACTAACAAAGCACCATGACAACTTCAGCAGCCTAGATTACCCATTTGACCTGTATTCATACACATTACTAGATAGTGCGGTCTATAAGGACAATACAATACATTTTAGACTCTTTAAGTCTACCGTATGTTCTTA